CGTAATCACCCCTCCCTTCACCGGGGAGTTCGTGCAGCTGTTCTACCCGGTGGTCAACAATAAGGACGTCACCGGTAGCCTGAGGTCCGACAGCGAGCAACAGTTGGTGCACGAGTTTTTAGGTGAGTAGGGTATGGCTGGTGGTGGACAGGGGTTTGCGGTGATAGCACGGGTAGTTTGAGTGAGTTTTTTTGGTGTTTTTACTGTTATGTAAAAGTTTTTATGAGTTTTTTGAAGCGCTGTTTAGTTATGAACTGAATGTTTGGTAGCTTTTGGGTTATAGTTAGGTATGGTTTATGGGTTGTTAGGGTTAAGGTATGTGGGGGTTGGGAAGGGGTAAGGGTTTGATGTGTTTTATATATGTATTGATTAATTGTATGTATTTTCAGATCATTGCAAACAACACTACAAGTCATTGGTGTGAATGAAGCCATGATTAGACGACTTAACGTTTAATACAATTAGCATTTTGTATGTCATTTAATGAATGAATAAAATGTTTGATAAAAAGTATTTTGGTATTTAATATAATATAAAATATCATATGGTATTACAATACTATAAGTACATAACCTATTACCTCCTCCTACCCCCTGTCCTCCCCCTTTGACATCACCATAGGCTCCACTGACTCACAAATGCTTGTAAGGGATGGGCATAAAATGGTTTGCTATACATAGGTTTAGCCTAGCCCTGACCTACTGTATGTCCCTTTTGTGTGTAAATAGTGGTAAGTTTTGTTTGTAGGTCTGTGTCCTCGCAAATAGTGTGAAGTGAATGCAAGTATTGATTGAAATGTGTGTTTAGTTTAATTGAAAATTAAATGCAATTTTCGTGATAATAATTGTTTGGATAATAATTCCTATAAATAGTGAATAGGGTTTGGAAATAATGTCTCAAATCTATGCGAAAGACTCTTTGGACAGATTTGGTGACGATTTGTGTGAACTAGTGTTGAGTTACCTATCATTTGAGGAGCGATTCCGATATGAATGTCTGTCCAAACAGTGCCAGCGAGTGGTGTATCAGACACTACACCAACTCATAAGTCGTGGAGATTTATACAACAAACTTAGGATAGGATCCAATGATTTAACAACATTTGAGTCCGCGATTAGAAAGTTAGCCAAAGTTACGGACATTGAGTGCATAGATAAGTGGATTAATAGCCGGATATTTGATTTGTTTATCACTTATTGCTTGCATTTAAACTCAATTAACATACGTATGGATAATAGCATTACTGTCCACACGATTGACATATTTTTCGCCATATATGGCCAGCAATTGAAATCTATTAACTTTTGCGGCGATTTCCACGCAAACACCAGGGACTCAATAAGCGAGCACATAAAACTGTGCGATAATATCGTAAAACTTAATGTGAAGTATGACATAAACCGGGAACTACTATCAACCCCGGGTATAGTGTTCCCGAGACTCCGCAAACTAGTTGTCAATTATAGCGACGATATTAGCGACGAGTTTATGGCGTTTTGCGATAACTATAAACATATCGTGAGATCCGTTTCGTTTGACTTTGAAAGTCGCGAGAATTCATTTCAAGCGTTGAGTGGTTTGTATAGAAAATATTTAGCATGCTTAAAATATATACAAGCATACAAGCAAATATATATATCCATGTATATCTGATAGGAATATGATAATATTATGCTAAATAAAAACTTACAGAATATGTAAACTTTTATATACACATAATAATGTAGACTTTATAACTTATATTAAGCTAGTTTATTCTATAACCTAGAATCTATATTATATTATATGATTTAAATTTACATGTTTTATGACCAGGTTTATCGCGAATGCGTGCATTACGGGAACTACGGCTCATATACGCCGAGTTGCTATACGACTGGTTTCCCGTATTTATAACCGGATTAACAGAGATAGGAGTCAACACACGGCATTTGAAACGCCTGTCCATCGACTACACGACCATATCTAGAGTGACCAACGATCACAACCTACTAATACAGTGTATTAATCGGCACTTCAATCACGTGAGGCGTTTGGAAATGTTGGGCAATATTTGGTGTTCAGATTTGGTACTAACCGGCGATTTGGATACGGATTTCAGGCGATTAACACATTTGACGATCGGTTTCCAGATTTATGACCCGTTTTTCACGAATATAGACAAATGTTTGCCAAACGTTCGGTACTTAAAGCTTATGAATGTTAACAGAATCGATGAGTTTGTATTGAATTCTGTGGCAAAACTCCGGAATATTCTGTACGTCAGACTCAAAGGCAATGAAACCGTACCGACGGACGTGTTGGCAAACCGTACGGAACTGTATGTCAAGAAAATAATTAGAAAGTGCCCCAAAATACAAACCATACAAATAAATAATAAAATCTTTTGAATTTTTGATATCTATTATTTATGATAAATAATTATAGCAAATAAATTGTGTATTTAGCTGGATGAGGTCGGCACCGGTACCTATAGTGACCAGCATTTGGTGCATCAGTTTTTAGGTGAGTAGGGTATGGGTGGTGGACAGGGGTTTGGGTGATGGCACTTGTATTAAAAGTTTGAGTGGAGGTTTTGGGTATGTTTTTAATGGGAGTTTTGGGTAAAGGTTTTATGGGTTTATTAGGGACTGGATGTTAGGTATGGTTGTGGTTAGTGTTATGTATAGCTTATAGATTATTAGGGCTAAGGTATGTGGGGTTAGGGAGGGGTAAGAGGATTACATTTTAGGGGACAATGGATGTTAATTAGCAAAAATCCAAATGTTTATCACAAACCTCATGATTTATCTCAAAATGTCAATTTGAAAGCTAATAATTCATATAAGGCGCGAGTTTGTAAAGGTATGTGTATAGGTGTGCAAGGTGCTCAATATATCGTATTAATTGTGATTACAATATGGGCTGCAAAGTTACAAATAGATTGCATAAATTAATAATAGTGTATAATAGTGAACGAATTGGCTGCCCTGGCTAACTTTACTGCATAACTAATGATAAAATTTTGTGTACTTTATTCAAAGACTGCATTTAAAAAAGTGTATTATATTCTTGCGTTCATTTCAATTACAATTTGAGAATTTATTGATAGTTTTGGTCAAAAGTTTTAATTTAAAACATATTTTGTGAACAAAATGAAGAGTTTCTTAATTATAAGTTTCGTATTGTATTATACATTGAGATTCAATGGACGAGTGAATGCTTTTAACAGTGATTTCGCAAAACTTGTGAATCTCTTAACGCAAGAGAAAGCAATGATTGAGTCGTTGAGTGAATATTTGGTGTCCGAAAAAGTCCTCAATTTTCGCTTAAGACGACTGACAGACAAGTTATTTTGCTATTTATTTAATAAAATTATTTTTAATATATTATGTAAGTACATTATTTAGACGATTATTATTTATTTAAAAATTATTTCCAACATTATTTTTAATCAATAAAACTGTAAATTTAAGCTTTTACTTATTTATAATAATCCTATTAATTAGTATAAATTTATATTCGCTATATATGGCACACAATTGAAAGCATTCAGTGATATTCATATAATTAATTAAATTATGAATTGTGTGTATTTTGGTGTAAATTTATTAAACTATTGCAAACATCTCTATAAGTAATTTGTATGAATTAATTAATTTATCAGAAAATCAAAATGTTTAATAAGATTAATAGTTTTATGTCATTTCATTAATGTTTGTAATTTATTATAAAATATGTGACATAAACGCGACATAGTGAATTCAATGTCAGTATGTTAATTAATTTGTAAGTTTTTATTTAAATTGAATAGTAATTTATAATTTTTTGAAAAACTTGATTTCAGATTTTAATTTATTTTAGCAAATGTCAAGTATTAATAAGTAATTTTCATATTTTAAGAAATGTGTAATAATTATAAAAATGTTTTTTAGTTGTAAAACACTAGTTAAATGTATAAAACGCAAATATTTACAGAAGTGCTAGCTAAATATTATTGAGTAGTATTTTAGTGACAATACTTAATAAAGTTTAATAAAAATAATGTCTCAAATCTATAGCAAAGACTCTTTGGACAGATTTGGTGATGATTTGTGTGAAATCCTATTGAGTTACCTATCATTTGAGGGTCGATTCAGATATGAATGTCTGTCCAAACAGTGGCAACGAGTCGTATATGAAACTCAATATCAACTAATAATTAGTCGAAAATTATGTGAAAAACTTAATATTAAATCCAATGATTACACAGCATTTGAATCAATGCTTAAAAAGATACCCAATATTACGGACATTGAGTGCACGGATAACTCAATTACTAACAGTTTGTTTGAATTGATTATCAAATATTGCTTTCATTTAAACGCTATTAACGTTTCATTTGCAAGTGATGTTAGTGTAGATATGATTGATATGTTTTTTGCCAAATATAGCAAGCAATTAAAAGTAATGAAACTACTTGGTAAACACGATTCAGAGCTACCCATAGAGAATAACATGAAACTATGCAAAAATATAATACATTTTGATTGCAATCATGATCCTTATATTAATATACTAGCATCACCAACTGTATTATTACCAAAACTACATAAAGTTAGAGTCTATTATTATCATGATTATGTCCACCAATTTATGACATTTCATGATAATTATAAAAATATTGTCAAATCAATTAATGTAAACCTTGATGGCTTTGGCGGCGAAAACTTGCAAACTTTAATGACTGGTTTGTATTTATGCTATGTTTAAGATTTTATAAATATACCCTAATGCTATTTGCTTACAATTTGTATTTTATACTCATAATTTTATAACACGCTAAGGTGTTTAGTTTATTTAATTTTGAAAATATTGTTATATTTATTTATTTATTCAATTTTTGAAACTATTTAATTTTAATAGAGCTTACACTATAATTAACTATGTTCATATTAATGTTAACAATCAAATTTTAAAATTTAAATAATATATGCCATAGTAACAGATAATGTTTTATGTATAGAGTTTATGTTATACTATAAGTATGTAGATTAATTATACAGTATAAATTATATAAGTTGCATGAATATAATTACCAGGTTTATTACAAATTCGTCATTTACGGGAATTACACCTCGAATATTGGGACGAAAATGGTGTGTTTCCCACATTTATCAATGTATTGACACAAATTGGATCCAATTTACGACATTTAAAGCGCCTGTCCATTGAGTATGAGTATGGATCAGATGAGGCTAAGCCAGCAAACGAGTGCTCAGTATTAATGCAATGTATTGTCAAACACTTCAAGCAATTAAGGCGTTTGGAAATCAATGGATATTTTTTCGATGATTTTGAATTAACAGGAGATATGTTTAAGGATTTTAAACGTTTAAAACATTTGACGATTTGGTTGCCTATTAATGAGCAGTTTTTGACAAATATCTCGAAATGTTTGCCAAACGTTCAGTACTTATGGCTTAAAGACGTTAAGAGTGTTAATGTGTTTGTATTGAATTCTGTGGCGAAACTCAAGAATATTCTGTGCGTTAAACTCAATGCAAGGGAAACAGACTTCAATGAAAGGGAAGTCAAGAATTTGATTAAATTATGTCCTAAAATTAAAACCTTTGAGATTAATGGGAATCTTTATTAAAAAAATTTAATGATTTAATTTACAAAAAATGTACACATTAAGTGTAAATTTAATTAATATTATTAAGAAAATTAACAAGTTATTTGATTTGTATAAGATTATACAAGGTGTTTGACAAAAGGATATTTATAGGTTTATTTAGCTTAAAAATCGTAGAATTGAGCTAGAACAAAATAAAAATTGATAACGGGAATTTCAGGTGACCAGAGTAAGATAGCGTTATTTATATGAAATATATCGATGCTATTCAGTCCTCTATAAAGTGTTATAAAATATGAAATGTTTTGTTTTAAAATATTGTTTGTTTTATAATTAATTTATAATTAAGTAAATCATTAGGATTAATCCGGACCACCCTTCTGTATACCTGATACTAAAGTGTTTGGCAATAAAATAAATTATTATTTTGGAAACTGTATATTTTATTAAAACAATTTAGAAAATTTTATAGTAATTTATTAAATAATAATTGGATTACATGTTGATGTGATATATTATTTATTTTGCATAATTATAATAAAGTGATATATTAAATTCAAATTATATCTATTACACATGCTAACAATTTATGATTAACAATTATAACTTTTCAAATGATAACTAAAATAATTATGAGTATTATAAAACTAATAAATTATCATAGATAATCACTAAATATTTTAATTTTAAATACGAGTATAAACGAGCATATTTTATACAAACAAGGTTTTAAATAATGTGCAACCACAATCCAATTACCGACAACACTGACCACCCACACCACAACCCCAAAAAGCCACCAAAATTAGCCAATAAATCAATGAAGGTCATTTCGGGTATGTGCTCGGTCACTTGATCCGGCAGTTGATTATGAGCTAGCTTAATATACACACTTCGAGCATCCAGGGGCTGCCTATCCGTAACCGCCAGACTGTAATAAATATTATGGCAATCCTGGGGGCACTGGCGCCTACAATATTCATCAAACTGGCTACTCGATCGACCGTAACAATAAGTCGGGTCACTTTTAAAATATGGGCCCGTGTTATAAATTACACCCTGTTTGGTAAATGAATTTTGCCCGAATTTACATAACTTAGGATCAGGCTCATTTGTTTGCGAGGTTAAACGCCACAGTATGTTTGAATAGGCCGTACAGTTACGGCACCTGGACCACATATCGTATAGACAGCTAGCTAAACAGTCGGCACGTAGTTTATGTGGATTATTATCATCGTAATTTCTGCAATTTGTTTCGTAGGGGGCCGGTAGTAGTATGGTGGTCAGTCGGTTATAGGACAGGTACACCATTTGACCGATGTTAACGTCCATAAACGCGTTGTTCACCAATCGCACCGGTATGCTAGTGGGCGAGTGCATGGACAGTTGGATTTTATTGCGATCAGCATATTTAGCCGGGACAGGTGGGAACCAACGATTGTCAAAGTTTACAATCAAGGTGATATCGTTGATTAGCATTTTATAATTACGCCATTTGTGATTAAGGTGACTGAACAAGGTGAAACACTTTTGACCCTCGCGCTCGTGGTTTATCTGTATGGACTCAATCGGTGCAAGCTCATCCGAGTAAATTGTAGTCTCCGTAATTGTACCATTGTCACTTTGATGTAGCCCCTTTATCCATACCATGATAGTTTTCACGCCAGTAAATGTACTCATATTAAGCAAGGTGGTAAACGGTACATTACGTAGGTTGTTTAACTTATTAACAAATTGCCCATAGTAATTTAAAAATAGGTCATTTGTGTATGATGAATTCTTTAAATGATCTTGATACTTTTCGACTAAATCAATGTATTTACGATAGGTGGTATTTAGATCCGGGTAAGTATCGGCCATACGCTCCATAGATATGATCGTAGGGTAGCATACGGTGAACGCCGGTATGTTTTCGTACAGATCCTGCTCTACCCTGACATTCACGAGGGACTGTCGGCTCAGGTATTTCACAGTGAGTTGTATTGTGTTGAGTATGAGTCCCGAT